TGGATGGCTGAAAATGAGGAGAATCATCATGTATTTTTAATTCAATGAGTGATATGATAAGAAGCAGAGAAATAGAATTGGTTTCAGCGTGAAACACTAGAAATTAATAATGTAACCATTTAAGATGTGGTTGCCTGACTCCAGGTGAAAGGTGAAAAGGAACTGAATTAGAACCAAAAGAGAGGAAGACTGGACCGAAACACGGGGATAACAGCACTTTATTTTGCCAGACCATTGCCTCCTAGTTCCCTGCCTCTTCTCTCATTGTAATGAGTTTACATCTTTTAATATTTAGAAGGACAGGGAGATATAGATAGCTCCTTTGCATCTCCTAGTCTTTTAAGTGTAAGAGGGAGCTAATTGTTTTCATTTTTATATTTTGGTTTTAATGTCCAGTCATTTTAATATGTATTAATTTTTCATTTTCCTGTCTCTTTTTTTATCTATCCTACCTCAATAATGGAACTCAATTCTCACTTTTGAAACCCTAAAATGCTCAAAAATTGATGGTGAGGGTGAAAAGAAGCTAAAGAGAACTATTCTTTAAATGTAAATGTTATTATAAAGGTGAGGTACAGAAGGGTTACAGTTACATAAGTAAGGTAATGAGTACATTTCTTTTTGAGCAGTTACCCCTTCCCTCATTTTCTCCCATTTTTTTCCTTCTTACCCCCTCCTCCTCAAATTGTAAAGATAATTTCTAACATAGTGTCTAGTGAGTATCTTCTGTGAATGCATTCTTAGAAAGTTGCAAAAATAAACCTGCCAAGAATTTAAAAATTAGAGCAAGATTACAAGGTACAAAGTTAATACATAAAAATAAACCAATACAGGAAAATAAATCATTTTCCTATATACAATGAGCAAAAAGAACTTGAAATTAAAATACAATATTTTAATAACCTAAAAATAATAAAAAAAATTTGGTTATAAATTCAACAAAATATGTACAAGAGATGTGTGACAAAAATTGCAAACTTCTGGTTAAATAAATAAAGCAAAATGTAAATGGAGAAACATATGTGTTCCATGAAAGTAAGATTCAGAAATGTCAAGATGTTCTTTTCAGATTTTATTTGTTTTTAATTTAAATTTTATTGTAAAGGTGATCTACAGAGGAGTTTATTACATAAGTAAGGGAATGAATGCATTTCTTTTTTGAACAGTGTTGCCCCCTCCTTCATTTTCTCCTGTTCCCTGTCTCCTCTCTCCCCCAAGTTGTAAAGTTTATTTCCCACATACTGTCTAGTTAGTGGCACTGTTGCATTGATTCACCCTTTGTCTTACCGTTTCCTCTTCCCTTCCCCAAATTAGATAAATTTATATCCAAGACAAAGAATACGGAAATCAAAACAGTGACAATAGGGAATAAACCAAAGGAGAAAAAAAGAAATCACTGGAAACAATACAATAAAAAAAACCTTGAATAAGACTATTTGAAATTACAATTTAAAGTAGATAGAAGCCTACATCTACTTTCCTAATTTTACCTAGAAGTTGATTCTTAGAGAGCTTAGGACAGAAGTTTCTTAGACTGGAGAATGTAAGACGGAGTGAAGGTGGAATTATTCTACCAAAACAAGTCTATGTGACAAATGTCCACACCCCAGGCCTCTCCTATTACTCAGCTCCAGAACAGCAGGAGAAAAAAAAATGCTAACAAGGAGCTTCAATTCTAAGAAATAGGATCAGCTTATGACAAAAAAAAAGATTTTTTTCTTTTTAAACAAGAGCAGTGCTGGGCGCCAATGGCTCACACCTGTAATCCTAACTATTTTTCCAAAGCCAGCCTCAGCAGGAAATTCTGTGAAACTCTTATCTCCAATTAAGTCACAGAAAAAGCCAGAAGTGGTGCTGTGGCTCAAGTTATAGAATGAACAAAAGGAGCTCAGGGATAGCATCCAGGCCCAGGCCCAGAGTTTAGGCCTCAGGATGGGCAGTGTGGGGGGGGAGGGAAGAGGGGGGAGACATGAACATCAGAAGAGTCTCAGACACCTGTCTCTAAGGAAACTAAATTGATAGAGTAGCTAATGATAGAAAATATCTAAAGAGTGATATAACTGGGGAATTGTTTGGGTTTGAATTTAGAAAATGAAGAAAACAAGTGAGTTGTCTTTTAACATAATAATGAAAGGTTGAGAATAAAAGAAAAATATTCAAATATGACATTGTGTCAATAAACTTTCCATGGTCATCATAAGCCCATAAGCCATGAATATTGATTCTTGAAAAAATTCTGAAATTCTGAGTTATATTTGGATGAGGCAAAGAGTTGGGGAGGCAGTTTTAGGATATATAAGAAAAGATAAATCTCCATCTTCCAAAAAAAAATTCAGTAGATAGTTACATAAACTAAAAAACCGAGAAGTACCAGCATAAGAGATAGGAGTGTGGTTCAACAGAAAGGGTGCTTCCCTTAGCACACATGGAGCCCTGAGTTCAAACTCCATGATTGCCTAAAAAAAAACATAAATATATACAAGACATATAAGACATAATGTTAGGAAAAATAAAAACACCAGTAAAAGAGTTTAAAAGAACTACTTACCAAGAGTGGTAAGCAGAAAAGGAGATTGGCTCTTTAAATACAATTCATGATTGTGATTTTAAAACACACACACAAATAATAAAATTGTTTTCAAACAGAATTTCATGAAAGAGAGACTAAAGAGGATTATAGGGTAATGAAAATTAAGGATATTCTCTACAAACTGAGACAGAAGAGTCCTGTGGTGGTTAGTAAAGACTGTGATGGAAATAAGATTGAAAGGAGATTGACAGCTTGCTTGCTCGTGGCTCTTTTGGCAACTAATTGGCTAATCTGTTTTGGACAGGAATGAGCTTAAAGAGAAGAAAGAAGTGGGGAGAATTGAGAGCTAAGCTGAGAAGGAATAAATGAGATAGCTGGTCTCAAATGGAAAAGGCTTTATTTACTTGGTCAATATTAGGAAATGAGATGTGTGGCAACATGATTTCTATTCTAAAAGGTAGTTATCCCTACATATAATAGATTATACACACACACACACACACACACACACACAAACACACACACACACACACATACACATATATGATCAAAGTCAATGGAACTTTGCTTAGATTCATAAGCCCAAAATAAATAAATACAAGTCCCAGATGAAGTGGTAGATTAAACAAACATGTTTGGAATGAAAAACAAAGTTAATAGATTAGGTTTGAAAAAAAGAATAAGAAGGACAGTGTTTTCTTGTACTGCAGAAGAGTAGTGCAAATGAGCAATGAGCCAATAGATACAATTGATGATGATGAAGGAATGGGTTGTTTTTCAAACTTATTATTTTTTTTATTGTGAAAATACTGTACAGAGGGGTTACAATTACATGGGCAAGATAATGAGTACATTTCTTATCAAGCATTGTAGCCTCCTCCTTTGTCTCCCCTTCCCATCCCTTCCAATCCTCCCCCCCGTCCCCCCAATCCTCCCCGCTCCCCCTTCCCCTCCCCCCCACCAAAGTTGTAAAGTTCATTTTTGACATAACGACTTGTACATCTCATTGTTGCAATGGGTCCACCTGTATCCCTATTTAAATGATTTGTTTTTCCCCTTCCCCTCCACAAATTATACTGACATTAAATACAGTGAAAGCAGGGGTTATACTGTGGGGGAGGGACATACAAAGCAACAAAGAAATAATGTTATAAATGTTTTAGAAACAATCACAAGAAAGAAAAAAACATTTGAATACTTATCTTAGGGTTCATTTCCCTAACATCACCTTATCTGACCTTTTCTGCTTGACTCAGACATATACTAGATATTGCAAATAAGCTTATTATTGTTGTTGGAGGTGTTATTTGTGCCAGTACTTGTGCCAGAACTCAGAGCCTTCTGTTCTTGTATGGCATATTTTGCTCAAGGCTGGCACTCTACTACTTGAGCCACACCTCCACTAAATATGAGCACTTTTTTGACAGTACTGGGGTTTGAACTCAAGGCCTTGTGCTTGCTAGGCAAGTACTCTACTTCTTGAACCATGCCACCATCCCTTGAGCACTTTTTTTAAAATACAGAACTGGGGCTTGAACTTAAGCCCTGGTGTGAAAGGATTCTTTAAAAAAAATAAAATAAAAACAAAACTCATGATTGATAGCTTCTGTTTCCTCACTGGCAACAGTGGCTGGATCCAGCCAAACAACTGGATCTTGTTTATGTCTGCAACTGGGAGCCAAACAAGGGGAAAAAGTGAAAGGAATGCTTCTAGGTAGTAATTTGGGGAGCATAGCTGGGGGGTAAAAATCAAAACACCTGTGGGTTACCATGACCCAATACCACATAGGGGCTGCCTTCAACAACAGAAATTTATTTTCTCCAAGTTCTGGAATTGGAAAGTCTAAAGTTAAGGAACTTTTCCTGACTTTTAGATAGACACCTTCTCTAGTATCTGAGAAAAAGAGAGAGGCGGGTAGAGGGAGGGAGGGAGTACTCTGGTATTTTCTCTTAGAGGGAAACTGATCCCATTGGATCCAGACTCCTCCCTTTTGACATTATTTACTCCTAAAGACCCCCTTACTCCAAATTCAGTCACTCTGTGCATAGGACTTTGACATATGTTTAATTCAGTGGTATAACATAAGTTGCTTTTCCATATAACCCAACTTCCCAAGATGGGTGAGTTAATCCATATTTGGTAATTAACAGGACAGATTTGACGGGTGATTGCTGGTGAAAGTATAGCTAAAATGGTTGAGATAGGTTCTAGGAATGGTGGGAAGAAACCAGAAAAGCTGGGTTAGGATTACAGAAAGGGCAGAGATTAGTATACTTAATGGCAGAATCCTCTTAGGCCAGGAGATAAATAGAAACTCTTTTCTAATTCACTTTCTGGGAATCTAACACTGTCTTGAGACCTAATTGGTTGTTCCTTCACTTTGAACTTTACTGGAATTAGAAGACTATCAAAGTGAAAAGAAGACTTAGGTTCACTGGTAATAATCACCTCATTTTTCTTTCTTTGTAGACGATTAAATACATTGAATAAGTGTGCCTCAATGAAACTTGATGTGAACTTCCAAAGGAAAAAGGTAGGTGCCCATACCATGCAAAGACCATAAAGCAGCTTGTGTTTATACATTAAAAATAACATGAGCCCAAGCAAAAAATCACAAATGACCCGTTTTCTCTCCAAATATCTATCTTATCATAAGTGTCATACATAAACCTATTGTAAGCCCACATTAAGACCTGTGTTTCTTACCCTTGTTTCAGTTTGTGTAATCTTTTTTTTTAATTAAGGTCTTACATAAATATATACATTCTTTTTTTTTTGCCAGTCGTGGGGCCTGAATTCTGAGCCTAGGTGCTGTCCCTCAGCTCTTCACCTCAAGGCTAGCATTCTAAAACTGAGCCACAGTGCCACTTCTGGCTTTTTCTGCTTATGTGGTGCTGAGGAATCAAACCCAGGGCCTCATGCATGGAAGGCAAGCACTCTACCACTGAGCCACCTTCCCAGACCCAATATGTACTTTCTTTAGGACAATTTTTAAGAGGTTTATGTAGATGCAAAGCTGAGCCCCCTATTAGACTCAGATATTCCATAGTGATTTGTAGGTTAAGAGATACAAAAAAAGATTGATGGGTCTGTGACATCAAGGAACCTCTTGTACATTCTTTTCAGGTGCACTTTATCTCAAGCATGTCAGGTGTGCATCCATTTTCAGACAGATTTATTAATTAGATAATGAAGTTAAGGAAATGGAGACAGTGTCACAGACCTGTCTCATCCTTCACCTTTTTCTCCCTCGGTGCTTTCTCCAGTCAGAAGGAATTGTGTGCAGCTTGAAAAATCATGAGACTCCCAGTTCCTTGCAGCACTGTGCATATACTAATCCTTTCTGTATGGACCAGACTAAAGATTCCAATTTTGAAATGAAGCTAGACAGCAAAATTCCAAATATCTAAAATCCATAACACCCCAAAATTCAACCTTTTTGACTATTAATAGGTTGCTTAAAACTTTTGAACTTCAGCAGGCCCTGAGGGGCCACACTTAACAAGTTAGCTGAGGGTTCAAAGCCAGCCCAAGCCAGAAAATCTGTGAGACTCTTCTCTCTAGTTAATGATCAAAAAGCCAGAAGTGAGACTCATCTGTCCAGTTAACCATCAAAAAGCCAGAAATGGAACTGTGGTTCAAGTAGTAGAGTGCCAGAAAAGCTAAGGAATAGTTCACAAGACTTGATTTTGAGCCCGGGGGGGAGGGGGAGCGGGGAGAGAGAGAGAGAGAGAACATCTTGTGAACATTCAGAGCATTATAGATGTTCTGATTAGGAATGTTCAAGCAATTAACTCTATGCAAAGATTACAAACACACACACACACACACACACACACACACAACTCTAAAATCTCAAATACTGGTTCCAGGCATTTGAGGAAGACTATACTTACACTCATTGAGCAATTACTATTTTCTAGAAACTAGAATACCACACATTGTGCCTTTTAATCTATTCTTGTAGGGCTTTTCTGTTTTCTAGATAAGGAAAATAAGCCTATAATTTGGCCTGTAATTTCAACTGGTGACATAACGGGATTGCAATCACAAAGCTCATCTAACTGGCTCCTTCCTAATCACAGTGCTGTTCTACTTAACCTTTTTCACGGAATTGATCCTTCTGTTTTTAGGAGATTCAGAATTAAACTAGTTAACTACTTTTTTCATTTAGTATTCCCACTAGGTAACAAATCAAGCCTCACTATATTGTGCAACAAAGAAAATCTTGAGTCAAAAGAAAATGTTATTTATTCTGGTTTAAACATAAAAATCATTATATTCAATGGATTTTTAAGTCACTCCTGAGTAATCTAATCTTTAAAAAACCAACATTTAAATTTCTGCTCTGAAATATCACCCCCTTCAAAAAAAATAGTCACCTGAATGTGCCTTGATCTTACCTTAAAAACAATTTGGGACTTAAACTAGGATCTAAAGATTTCATGTACAGAGGTTAAAGAGAGACATTAAGACATGAGCAATTCATCTGGGCCAAAGACATATTTAAAGTGTGGGAATAAACTTGGCAACAGCTGTCTGTCTGAATAGACCCCTTGAGAAGCATACATACTATATGAAGCATAAGGGTCAGATGTTGTTTTGATGGTAACACATGGTTCTTATTAAACTGAACACAGCCATGCCTGTGTATGCACAGCCTGGGTCCTCAGATGGCTGGTCTATACCACTACATATGCAGATTGCTAGCTAGAGCAAATCACAAAAGAAAATGCCAAAAAAGATGACATGATTTGTTTCCACAATGTAGAATGATTGGATTTAAAAAAAAAAAAAAAAACTCCCAGGCAAGAGAGTCTGAATAACATTAGTTAGGTTCTTTGTGTGTTGCCATCACAAAAGCTCTGCTGTAAATTGGTCACTTTGCTATTCTGACATTCTTGGTGGATCTCTTATATTGGCTCTAGGGACACATAGGCTTACAGTCCCCACTTACTGATAGGCCTCGCAAACTCATGCGCTTAAATAAAATACTGCTTTTCACATTGTAAACTGGAGAACCATGGCCAGTATTTTCAAATAGGAATTCCTGATATGTGGTCTGCACTCACCTTCGAACTTGTCATGACCAAGTCCTGTGGCTGGCTCTAAGCAAGGATACAGAAGGTGCTGTCTGGACACGCCCACTTCTCTGACCTGTCGCTTATAGCAAAAACCCTCACATAGATGCAAAAAATGAATAGGGCTTAAGACTGGGCCAAACGACCAAAATTGTAAAGTGAAGCCGAAAAACAAGTATCTCCTGAAGCCCCAGCCAACTTTGGAGTTCATATATTTTGAATAAATAAATAAATAAATAAGGAATAAAATGCTTCTACATCAATCTCCATTTTAGGCACCCTGTGAAATAGAAATGGAATCCTCTAGAAACCCTCATCTTTGACCTGCAGAGGCCCTGGCTTTAATTCTGCAGTATGTCATTCCCCCAAAATGGATCAATTGAGCAGGCTCACAATCTCAATTTGAGGTGGTTGAATTTAGAAAAACACAGTGTCGGCTTGCTTGGCAGTTTGGATGGCTAGCAAATGCTGACACAGAGACTCTTCTCTGCCCTCTTGCCCCTCATTAACTCCAACCCACAAGTACACAAATTGAAGAACTCAGTTACATGCCCAATGCCATAGAGAAAAAAGCAGAGGTAGATTTGAACACAGATATCCTAATTGCAGCACACTTACCTTTCAAAGACCAGAAGTGTATCAGAGCTTGAGTGTATTTCTAACCCTTGACCTGAGAGTTGACAAGGTCTCATTCATTTTAGAAGAAGACTATGCCTTGCTGTTGCTACTAATGTCCACAATGTGCTTATTGTCTTCATGGCAATTTTGGGAGGGCTGGAAATGAAAACTAAAGAAGTATATAAATAAGTGAACAGAGTAAAATGTTATTCATACTTAGTATGAATGAATATTAAGTATTCATTCTTCACCCTTCTCCATACTGGGCCTTGAACCTCTTGCTTGCTAGGCAATCCCTTGCCCACTTGGGCCACATGTCCAGTCCAGGTGTGCACTTTTCTGTGCACCAGGTGCAACTTCTAAAGCTGTGTATATCAGAAGAAACGACAAGGCTGGGCACTGGTGGCTCACGCCTATAATCCTAGCTACTCAGGAGGCTGAGATCTGAGGATTGCAGTTCAAAGCCAGCCCAGGCAGGAA